CAAGCTGCGACCTGATTGACAGGCTAAGCTCCACCCCTTCACTCTTAATCCTCTCAAATGGACAACAGATGACATAACTACCACAGGGACAGAAGTGGAGTTGGAACTAATGTTGAGATGGTGTTACAAAGGGCGTGGATTTTTAGGCGGGTGTTGTTGTTAGGTACTGTGGGGTCCCTTTCAACTGGTGGAGACCCCCTGTGACTGAGCAGAACTTCCTCAGAGGCTTTTCTAGGTTGTCACCTTCACAGAAGCAGATTTCCAGGGTGGATTTTTGTGTTGTTTTGTTGTTAGATCAAAGCTGAAGTGAAGTTGCTCTTGACTTTGTTTCTGGACATACAGATGAGTAAACAAAGTTGGATCCAGGACAAGATAGACTATTCCGGTCTGAAAAAGGCTTTGTGTCTGAAAGAGACTTTGGTGCTCATTCAATTCACAGCTCCCTCTCCATCCTGCAGATGAAGCAGAGACAGAGAAATTACCCAATTAAGAACTTGGCCTGACCCCAAACCACCTGGATGGTTCATTCAACCCCCTCTCACCTGCACCAGACCACACATTGCCCACCTCGGTTCAGATTAGAGGGACACGTGGGCTTGAGCTGGAGAGAGGAAGTCGAAGATAGCTCTTAGAAGACACAGAAGTGGGAGCAGTGTTCTGAACATAGTCGAAGAGCAGCGAGGTCACGGAGGGTTGGTGTCTACGGATCTTCACTGAACCTACCTTTTCTGCCCTCAGTGGGGGGCCGTGTAGATTTTGATGACTTTGTGGAGCTGATGACCCCCAAATTGCTCGCAGAAACAGCTGGGATGATTGGGGTCCAAGAGATGCGAGATGCCTTCAAGGAGGTGAGTTACGAGCGTCTTGGTGCTGGAAGCAATTGAAGAACTGAGGGGTTCTGGGGGCTAGTGCATTACACATTGGGTTGTGTTGAGTTACTAACCACAGGGTCAGCAGTTCAAACCCACCGTGGAGAAAGCTGTGGCTGCCTGCTCCTGTAAAGAGTTACAGCCTCAGACACCCAAAGGGGGCAGTTCTAGTCTGTTCTCGAGGGTCACTTTGAGTTGGAATTGAGCCCCTGGCAGAGAGTTTGGTTTTTTTGGTATAGAGGTCTCTAATTAGTCATTGCTACAGAGTCTGTAGTATAGTATAGACCAAAAAGCTAAGCCAAATTCGAACCCATCCTTACTACAGAGTCTATACTATAGCATAATATAGCATAGTATAGCACATATATAACATAGCATAGCATAACATACATAGAATAACATACATAACATACGTATACAACATGCATAACACAACACACATAACATACATAGCACAACATACATAACATGACACACATACATATCATGCATGGCATAACACATAACATACATAACACAACATAGCATGACATAACATGCATAAAATAACATATCATACATAGCATAGCATACATAACACAACACACATAACATACATAGCACAACATACATAACATGACACACATACATAACATATCATGCATGGCATAACACATAACATACATAACACAACATAGCATGACATAACATGCATAAAATAACATATACATAGCATAGCATACATAACACAACACACATAACATACATAACACAACATAGCATAACATAGCAAACATAACATACATAACATAACACAGCATAGTAGCATAGCATAACATAAACCAAAAAACTAAGCCAAGCCCACTACCATTGAGTCAATGCTGACTCATAGTGACGCTCCAGGACAGAGTAGAACTGCTCCTTGGGAGCCTTGCTGGGACAATGGTTAACGTGCTTGACCACAAACTAAAAGGTCAGCAGTTCAAATCCATCAGCTGTTCTGAGGGAGACTGACAGCCTTCAAAACTCCAAGCGGGGGTAAATCCCCCTCTGTCTCAATAGGGTCGCTACAGCTCAGAATTCATTCTGCAGCCAACCGTGTGGCTCTTGGTTATGGTGGGATTGATCAGACAGGACAAGAGCATTCCAAGGATTACAGTGGACGGGGTCCTTGTCACATTCCACCCCATCCAACCCTCCCCGATAGCATTGGGAATGAGCAGTCAATTATACCAACTGATCAACTTGAGGAAGCATCTCGGAACCCACAGGGGGCAGTGCTCGTCTTGTAGGGTCGCTAGGAGCCGGGGTTGAC